AGGAGGAGAACTGGGAGCAGAGTCTCAGAGGCCAAGAGAGTGGAGTTTTTTTTTGTGGAGGGGATGGTCAACAGTATCAAAAGCTGCAGAGAGGTCAAGTAGTAAGAGTATGGAGTAGTGGCCATTGGTTTTAGCAGTTAGTAAATCATTAGTGAGTTTTAGTAGGGCAGTTTCAGTGGAGTGACCATATATGATCATGTCCTTATATGGTCAATGGTGCCATAAGGGGGAAGGGTCAACTTTTAATAAAAGACTTGTAAGCAAGTGCCCACAGACATCCCACAACCACCAGGCAAGGGTACAAGGTACTAGCCAGGAGATATCCCCTGAGAACATGTAGCCTGGATTGGGCTCGGGGGGGGGGGGGGGCACCTGTTCATCCCCTGCATGCTTAAAAAAGGGTCTAGTATGGATTTTGGGCCACACCATTTGTTTTTGTTTTTTTGATGTAGTGTCTCCCAGACTTGAAGGACCTGGTATAGATTGTGTGGGGGCCCCCATGCCATTTTCTATTTTTTATTTGTAATGATAGCTTCTTTGTTTACATTCTGTTGTCAGCTGGGAATCCCTGGCTGACAGCATGGATGAGTTCAGTAGTTTTTAAGACACCAAGCAGGTGTCAGCTCCTAACAACCAACAAAAAATACTTGCAAAAACACATCAAAAATGCATGTACATGCATTTCTGGTGCATTTCCATTGAAATCTATGGAGCTAAAATCGTGCAAAAACATCACCAAAGTAGCACTGCCACCTTTTTCAAACACACGCCATGCTGTGCTGCATTGATGTGAGCAAGCACCATAGAAAATAATGTGATTTCCATTGCCATGTGATCCTACGCAATGCATGTCTCATCCAAAAATCACACTAGTGTGAACCAGGTCCAAATTAAACTAATGTAATCTGAAAAATAATGGTTAATAACAACAAATACAAGTAAAATGATGCATGCCTCTTAATTAATTGACCCTTTATTTAGTAGTAAAAGAGTAATTATGAATAAAGTACAAATATAGTAGATAGCATCACCAAGGAATCACTCCTAAACATAAGACAGGATTTACCAGAATTGCAAAGCATCTTTTCTACAAATCATATTCTTACAGAAAGTAATAATTGAGTAATAAGGGATTGTACCCAAAATGTTTATGCAGCGGTGTAAGATATCAGAATGATGCTTCCAAGGGCTGGGCAAAGCAATTGGTTCACATTATTGGTTGCCCAATCAACAAGTTAACCTTCCCTTCCACCTTTCAGCTCCATTTTAACCCCCCACATTGTATAGTATATACTGTATACTATCCTCATTATTTGAATGATTTACAGTCAAAAAGCTAAATACTCAGAACATATACATTTATGGAAGTTATTTTACCTTCCAAAGGATTTGTATTTCTGTCCACCCAGACCTGACATTTACACAGCCCTGTCCTGGATTTGCCAGGACAGTCCTGTGTTTAAGTTGTTCCTTGAATGTGGTGTCCGGGATCAAAGCATTGTGTTGACTAAGTCTGTCTGTCTCTACCTCTGCCCAGCAGCCCTCTCCCTGTTACACTGTGTACACAGCTCATTAATATGCAAATTCAGTAGTGGCTCATTGATATGTAAATGTCATAATCGCTTATTCATATGCAAACCCATGAGTGGCACATTCATATATTTATCTTTCCCTGACTCCAAGGCAATTCAGCCCAGTCTGTGCTTTTGTGTAGTAGTGGTGGTGGGGAGGGGGGCAGTGCCTCCTTAGGGTTGAAATCTGGTTTCTGGCCTTGTTCTGGAACTGCCCTGAGAGAGGGGTAAGCAGTGAAAGAGCTAGTGAAAGGGAGAGAGCTGAGATGCTGCTTACCCACCTTGTGCACCCACACAGACACCCAGGCATTAGGAGTCCTCTTTATAGGGAGGGCAAGAAGGACTAGCCATTTCAGGATGGATGTAGGGAGGACTATCACTCTACTCTCCTCATGCCACCTTTCGGACATATGGTAAGGATGTGTATTTAGAGTGTCTCTTTACTTGGGCCTTACCTCAGCCGGGGGCATGTGCCAGGGGCCCAAAGATTTATTTGCTGGAATGGCTATTTGAAAAATGGGATGAAAAAAAAGATCTTGCTGAAGAATGTCAGAGAACAAAATGGGTAGAAACTGCCATCTAGACATTGTAAGTAGGATTCTTTGCCCACAGAGCAAGGTATCTTTGACTGCTCTAAAAAGGTCAAGGTCCAGATTTAGTAGAAAGAGATCCACTGCAATGTAAGAAACACTGTGACTGCTCTAATAAGGCAAAGATCTGGATGACTACTCTTGCAGGGCCAGCAATTACTGCTCCTCTTAAAAGACATATTGCTGTTACTACTAGTTTTAGAGTGTCTGTCCTATTTTTGGGCTCTGTTTTGGGTATCCTGCACTCCTAAATCCTTTTTCCTTGTTTAGAGTTCAGTAGTGAACAGTAAAAAGACTAAAGTGACTAGGACTCAACTTATTTTCTGCCTCACCATACACTAGACCCTGATATGAAAATATTAGCCCATCTTATTACCTGGGGGTCATTTCATACTGCCTCAAAGGGTGGGGTGCTATAATATGGTGCATATTATACTTCTTATCTCTGAACTGCATGTACTATTTTGTACATTATACTCCTGGCCCTTGCACTGTCTACACTATGTTGTATATTATATTAAACTGAGCAACAGAGTCATAACTAGTTTTATTACACAGGATTTTAGCCACCTACAAAACTTTCAACCCATCAGCAGCCACGACAGGCAGTGCAGCACTCAGCAGAAAGGTCAGCGTCAAATGATGTTTTCTAAATATTTTATGCTAAATGTGTTTTCAGTGTAATTGGTGTTTATCAATCTACAGCTCAGCAAGAGCTGTTGGGTTGCTGTGCTTTAAATAGACTGTACAGGCTAAAAGTTGCAACTGGCTAAACAAATGTATACATAATTTTACTAATGAACAATAAATTATTGGTTGTGTTTTTGTCCTTATTATGAGAAATAATTTTTAATGCACAGGATGTTAAAAATAAATTGTACAACAGGTTAAGTACTATATGCCTGTTGTTTAAATGAATCCACTATCCCTATTTAACCACTCGCCAACCACGCTATAGCCGAATGATGGCTACAGCGTGGTTGTCCAGTTCTCCCGACACAGCTGATCATGTGATGTGGTAAAGGGCCAATCACAGCGGCCTTTTACCACATGATCAGCTGTGTCCAATGACACAGCAGATCACCTGGTAAATACAGTTACTGGTTATCGGCTGTACTTTCCTCATGTTGTCACAGCGTGAGAAAAGTACTGCCGATAATCAGGCAATTGTCAGAGAAGAGATCAGCACTGATCATCAGGGCACTGATCATCAGTGCCCTGATGATCAGTGCTCAGCAGTGGTGCCAGCAGTGCCCAGAGGTGCCACCCACCAGTGTCCAGCAGTGCCACCCAGCTGTGCCCATCAGTGCCACCCATTAGTGCCCAGCAGTGCCTAGCAGTGCCACCCATCTGTGCCCAGCAGTGTCTAGCAGTGCCACCCACCAGTGCCCAGCAGTGTCACCCACCACTGCTGTCCAGCAGTGCCGCCAGTCAGTGCCCAGCAGTGCTGCCAGTCAGTGCCCATCAGTGCAGCCTATCAGTGCCCCATCATTGCTGCCTATCAGTGCAGCATAATCAGTGCTGCCTATCAGTGCAGCATTATCAGTGCCCATAAGTGCTGCTTATCTTTTCCACCTCATCAGTTCCCATCAGTGCTCCCTATCAGTGCCCATCAGTGCTACCTATCAGTGCAACCTAATCAATTCACATCAGTGAAGGAGAAAAATTACCTGTTTGCAAAATTTTATAATAGAAACAAAGAAAAACTTAATTTTTTTTTCATATTTGTTGCTCTTTTTTGTTTATAGCGCAAAAAATAAAACACCCAGTGGTGGTTAAATACCACCAAAAGAAAGTTCAATTTTGTAAAAAAAATGATAAAAATGTCATATGAGTACAATGTTGCATGACCCCACAATTGGCATTCAAAGTGCGACAGCGCTGAAAGCTGAAAATTGGCCTGGGCAGGAAGGGGGTATAAGTGCCCAGTAGGCAAGTGGTAAAGTAAATCTCTACCTACAATGACTTGCCGGACACAAAGCAAAAAAGAGCGTCCCAGGATTTTTTTTTCTAAATGTTGGCAACTATGGCAGAGCGTCTTTTTAAAATTATTCGCCTGGGTTTCCTTTTACTTTTGCTACTAGTAGAAGTGCTTCAGTAGAATGTAAAACCACCTGATCACTTCACAAGTCACCAAATCATTGAACTATTATTTTATCTTCTTTGCACAAAATTAATCTTGAAGTGCTAGGCTTTCCACATTTGGAGGTAAAACGCCTTAGTAAGTCAGTTTAAAAATCATCAGTTGAAATATGAATATCAATTCCCAACACAGGGTGGTTACTGTGGGGACATAAACATCGCTCCAAAGTGCTACGTCCTATTTAAATAGTATTGGAGAAACAAAACACTTATGGACTTTTTAGGCACTACAACAATGGTTCATAAAAGAATATCACTTTCTTAAGCATACATAAACATACAATGATACGTACAATTGTAAAATTATTACAGAGTGTAAACCACCCCTGTAACATACAGCTATATATAATCAATGCAGATACATGTACTATTAGTAGGTCCCACAGTAAGAAATACCATATCCCGGCAAAGGCTAAGAGAATATAATTTGATAGTGGTAAGTACAATAGATCCAGTGGTGTATTTTGGTTTTGTGCTGCCCTAGGCAAGACTAAAATCGGGCACCCCCCGCATCTAAATTTGCCCTACCCCTTCCTGTTTAAGACCCCACCCCCTCATCTGTAAACACCACCCCTTCCTATTTAGGCTCCACCTCTTCCTATTAGAGCTCCACCCACTGACAACGATGGAGCGCTATTCCTCCCACTGACACCAATGATGGGGCACTATTCCTCCCACTGACACCAACAATGGGGCACTATTCCTCCCACTGACACCAATGATGGGGTACTATTACTTCCACACTGACACCAATGATGGGGCACTATTCCTCCCACACTGGCACTAATGATGGGGCACTATTCCTTCCACACTGACACCAATGTTGGGGCACTATTCCTCCCACACTGGCACTAATTATGGGGCACTATTCCTCCCGCACTGACACCAATGATGGGGCACTATTCCCCCACACTGGCACTAATGATGGGGCACTATTCCTCCCACGGACACCAATGATGGTGTCCCATCATTAGTGTCAGTGTGGGAGGCATAGTGCCCATCACTGGATTGGTGTTAGTGGGAGGAATAGTGTCCCATCGTTGGTGTCAGTGGGAGAAGTAGTGCCACAACATTGGTGTCAGTGGGAGGAATAGTGCCACATCACTGATGTCAGTGGGAGGAATAGTGTCCCATCGTTGGTATCAGTGGGAAGAATAGTGCCACATCGTTGGTGCCAGTGGGAGGAATAGTGCCCCATCATTGGTATCAGTGGGAGGAATAGTGCCACATCATTGGTGTCAGTCAGGGGGGGGGGGGAATAGTGCCCCATCATTGATGTCAGTGTGGGGGGGGGAATAGTGGGGGGGGGGGAATAGTGCCCCATCATTGGAGAGGGGATGTCAGTGGGGGGGGGGGGGGGAATAGTGCCCCATCATTGATGTCAGTGGGGGGGGGGAATAGTGCCCCATCATTGGTGTCAGTGGGGTGGGAATAGTGCCCCATCATTGGTGTCAGTGGGGGGGGAATAGTGCCCCATCATTGGTGTCAGTGGGGGGAGGAATAGTGCCCCATCATTGATGTCAGTGTGGGGGGGGAATAGTGCCCCATCATTGATGTCAGTGTGGGGGGGAATAGTGCCCCATCATTGGTGTCAGGGGAATAGTGCCTCATCATTGGGTCAGTGAGGGGGGAATAGTGCCCCATCATTGGTGACAGTGGGGGGGGAATAGTGCCCCATCATTGATGTCAGTGTGGGGGGGGAATAGTGCCCCATCATTGATGTCAGTTGGGGGGGGTAGTGCCCCATCATTGGGGGGGTGGGAATAGTGCCCCATCATTGGTGTCAGTGGGGGGTGGAATAGTGCCCCATCGTTGGTGTCAGTGGGGGGAGGAATAGTGCCCCATCATTGGTGTCAGTGGGGGGAGGAATAGTGCCCCATCGTTGGTGTCAGTGGGGGGAGGAATAGTGCCCCATCGTTGGTGTCAGTGGGGGGGAAATAGTGCCCTATCATTGGTGTCAGTGGGAGTAATAGTGCCCTATCATTGGTATTAGTGACACCAATGATGGGGCATTATTCCTCCTACTGACACCAATGATACTTACCATGCTGACCCCTGCTCCAGCCTGGGCTTGCTTTCTCCCTCTCCCATCTACAGCCAGCATACCTGGCTGCAGCAGCACCATCTGCACGGACACTTACCGGTCAGCTGTCTTCCTTCTCCGGCCGCTCTCCACCTCTTCACTCGCTCCGGCAGCTCCCTCACTCGATCTTCTTTAATCTTTGCGCTGCCGCTCGGCTTCTCCTCTCCAAGCTTCACCTCTTCGCCGGTGATTGGCCACCTGTGTGCCTCTCCTGAGCTAAAGTTCCGGTGGCTAATCACCGGCGAGGAGGCGAAGCTGTTGAGTGATCCCGGGGGTGTGGCCAGATGACAGGGGCGGCATGGCGTCCCACCCACACCTCGCAGTCCAGGGAAATGAAGACATCGTACCCGCTGGACAACCTCTCTACCCCTCCTCCAGCAGCACCTCATGGACCGGATCGACGTGGGACTGGGGCACCGAGTCGTGGACCCAAGTAAGACACAGCAGCCTGAACCTGTACTAAGTGTCCCTTCCGTGGGAAAGGGGGCGGTTCCGCCGCACCGCCCCCCTAAACAGTGCCGCCCTAGGCAAATGCCTTGTTTGCCTCGTGGCAAATACGCCCCTGAATAGCTAAACATGTTTCGTGATAATATCGCTTCTTCAGGAGCTGTAAGACTTCTTAAGGTATATGCATCTGCATGAGTGCAATGGAAGGGAGCGTCCGGCCATACCATGATGGGCCAATCATTGAAGGGAGGGGAAGCCTCCTGCCACCTGCCCCGCGTCAATACCTCTCCACTAGTTGGACGTAGTATGTGGTGGTGTTGGGCATTTCCAGGCAACATTGGGACCCTTTGCATGACACTGTGGTGGCATTTTAGACTCCTGGGTGGTCCTGGGGTCACTTGTGGTCAAGATACATCTGCATCTCCTAACAGATTGACACGTGATTGTTGGGGAACATATGCTGCCCGGAAGAGCCACTATTCAAATCAACAAGCTATACCAAAAAGAATATTGTTATACTGTCACTACTAGGAAGTTCACCTAGGATCACTGATCTACCATATGACAGTAAGGCACATACTACATCCAACTAGTGGAGAGGTATTGATGCGGGGCATGCGGCTTGCCCCCCCAGCATTGTGGGGATCCCCTCATCAATTGGCTCCTCATGATATGGCCAGACGTTCCCTTCCATTGCTCTCATGCAGATGCATATACCTTAGGAAGTCTCCTTACAGCTCCTGAAGTAGCAATATTATAAGCGAAACATGCTGAGCTATCGCACTTACTACTATCAGATTATTTTCCCTTAACCTTTGCCGAGATACGGTGTTTCTCAATTGTATTGTAACTGTAATGTCTACCTTCATTTTGTAAAGCGCTGCGCAAACTGTTAGCGCTATATAAATCCTATATAATAAATAAAATAATGACTAAGCCTTATGGATGAAACATGTTAGTGGGGTTTACCTGATGGGTAGCGAGCCTGCTGAACCCATTTTGTGATCATTTGTTATGTGATTCATTATATTGATGTGCAGTTGTGGGAAACATTTGTGATTTTTAAATTGTGCCTTAATATGTATTTGTGTTTTTGTGTTTTTCTCCTGCATTAACCCTAAGAGATTAAGGAGCAACTTTATAGACAATTCAGGCTTATTGCACTGTACATTGTTGCAACACTAACACATCTTGCCGCCTGCTGCTGCCCTGACCAAACTGTATTGATCTCACTGCAGTGGAGAAAAGAAAATTGTCAGGCTGGGTTATTTGGGTTAGAAACCCATATGAAAAGTTTTGTATTTTGGCAGGTAAGGCAGTTCAGACATATGGATTTTAACTGTGTTTTCAGCCATTTGCCTTCATTTACAATTAAAGCAAAGCTTCACTCAAAAAGGGAAGTCCCACTGGTTCTCTCCTTCCCCCCAGCCTGTAATTGAGGTACAGTTTTTTTTGGGGGGTGAGTACCAATTCAGTACCCACTCCCACTTCCGCTATCCTCACCTATACATGTCCCAGGAGGCTGCAGGGCCATTCGAAAAATTCTATGTCAGCTTGAGCATGCACAGTGGGAAGCCAGCTGTGGTTCCTCAAAAAGCCAGCCAGCTCCTGTATCCAAGATGGTGGCACTGGTGGCCCACAGCGTTAAGAAGAAATTGCTACAGGAAAACAGCACTGGACCCCAGGCACTGGTAAGTACCTGATTTTCAAAAATAAGCAGCTACTGCATTTGTAGCTGATTACATTAATAAAAATCAAGCAGAAATCCTTATTTCAGCTCATTCACAAGAAGTCTTTTCAGGACTGAACCTTAAGATCTACATAGTCCAGGTTGCACTAGTGATGCTTACATTGGTTACATCTCTGCAGGAAGTCTGGCCGTGTGTGGTTGACCTAAGTCAAGAAGATTTGAAACTTAGCTCTTTTTCTCTTTGTTACAATTTTAGATTTATTACATCTCTTAAAGAGAAATTATGAAAACACTGACCTGCAACAAAGGAAAACACACAAGTAAAATAATGACATCCAGATATAGGCCACTGCATAGGGGAGAAGGTCAGCAGTTTGGAAAGATTAAACTCTTTGATAATTCAATTACAAACAAAAAGTAGCTTTATTGTGGTATCCAATTACAGATATACTAACTATGTAGAATTACTAAAATAACCTGTGAAAACAGTTTTAGGATTTCATAAGCTGGATCTGTCATAATTAATTAGATTTTTGGGATTCAACAATATAATACTGTGCATTCACCTGTGGAATTCTCATATATACGTCTGTAGTCTTTTTCGTTGAATTTTTGCAAGCTGCTGTCACAGAAATTATTTTTTAAAAAGCAAATTCTAGAAAGGAGGCCCATGTTTGTAAGAAATCACAAGTCATTCATTTCTTTCTAATTTTCTAATGTATTTCGTTTTTATCAATTCAAGAATTAGTAAATGCGCAATCAAAGTTTTATTTACAAAAATGTAAGTGCATGTGTCAAATACTCATGAGAAGGAGAAACTAACATTTTTTTTAAATTCCTCTGCTCATGCTTGGATATTTGATATGAAAAAAAAAACTTATCTATGTGTCAAATATTCATGAGAAGGAGAAACTAACATTTTTTTAAATTCCTCTACTCATGTTTGGATGTTTGATATGAAAAAAAACTTATCCTAAGTAACCCCCACAAAGTAAAAACTGTCACCAGCATGTGTAGCAAGCAAGCAATATTTTTAATATGTATCCATGTAAAAAAAAAAAAGGTTTGAGTTGTAATCCATAGAGAATTTAATTTCCTCTTTAAAAACACAACTGACAATCTTTTAGGCTCAAATAACATAATCTAATGCTATTAGCTACTTGCTTTGGTCATGTGACCACAGATGGTAAACAATTAAAAATGTAGAATGTGTTCTGCCCTTTCATTTAAGTGGAACTTCACCCCCTCAGTCAACACTGACTATTTTCAATCTTTATGCTGCTAGCATTGGTAAAAATAGATAAGAAAGTATATATAATATATATATATCGTATATCACTCACTGGCTAAATCCTGCCACCTCAACCTCCAGAACATTTCCAAAATCCTCCCCTTCCTGACCAATGACACCACAAAACAACTCATCCACGCCTTGGTTATATCCCGCCTCGATTACTGCAACTCCCTCCTCACTGGTCTACCGTTACATAGGCTATCCCCCCTTCAGTCTATTATGAATGCTGCTGCTAGACACATTTACCAACCGATCAGCAACTGCTGCCCCTCTCTGCCAATCCCTCCACTGGCTTCCACTAACCCAACATATAAAATTCAAAATACTAACCACAGCTTACAAAGCCATCCACAACACTGCCCCCAGCTAAATCACCAGCCTCATCCACAGATACCGCCCAAATCGCCCACTCCGCTCCTCCCATGATATCCTCCTCTCTAGCTCCCTCATCACCTCCTCCCACGCTCTCCTCCAGGACTTCTCCAGAGCCTCTCCCATCCTCTGGAACTCCCTACCACAGCATGTCCGGTCAGCCCCCACCCTGTCTGCCTTTAGGCGATCTTTGAAAACTCACTTCCTCAGGGAAGCTTACCCCACCTCCACCTAAGAACTGTACTTGAATCACCTCCACCAGATCATCCCCCACAGCTATCACCTTTTGTATCACCTCCCCCTTCCTTTAGATTGTAAGCTCCACGAGCAGAGCCCTCCTATTCCTTCTGTACTGAAATGTATTGTAATTGTACTGTCTCCCTTATATTGTAAAGCGCTGCGCAAACTGTTGGCGCTATATAAATCCTGTATAATAATAACAATAATATCATATTTACTTGTTTTAATTTTTT